CCCCTGGCCCAGAATCGAACCTGGGACCCTTCAGTCCGCAGGCCGACACTCTATCCACTGAGCCAAACCAGTTAGGGCAACTTGCTTGTTTTTAATGAAATGAAAAAAATTCATTTTAATGAATTTCATACCAAAAATTATTGTTGTGTATAGCAACAGTTCTGGGATTTGGGAAAAACCAGTAAACAGAACGGACACCTCTGCTCTCATGGGGTTCCTATTCTAGTGAAACGAGATAAAAAATAAATGTCAGGTAATGATGGGTGCTGTTTAGAAAAATAAAACAGAGTTGGTGACAAGAGAGTGATAGAATGCTAATTAGATAAAGTGGTTGGCAAATCTAGGAGCAGGAAGGAAACCCTTGTGGGTGGAGCGGAAAAAACAAGGCCGAGTATGTTATGAGGTGAGATAAAGGAGATTGAAACCAAAAGTGTTGAGCTTTTGAATTTCATGTTAAGCGGGGGTGTGATGTGATATAACTCTCCTTTTTAAGTGTTCAGGCTAGCTTCCGTGTAGACAGTAGACTACAAGGGGTTTAGGAGGGAAGCAAGGGGAAGAGTTAAGAGGCTATTGTGATAATCCAGGTGAAAGATGATGGCTTAGACCAATTGTACTCTAAATATATTCTGAAAATAGAGCTGACAAAATTTGCTGATAGAGTGGAGATGATGTATGACAGATAAGTCAAAGTCAAGATTTTTCGGAAGGATAGAATTGCCATTTACTGAAATAGAGTGGATTCAGCTGGGGGTGGTGAGAATTAAGAGTTTTGTTTTGTATCTATTAAGTATAAGATGTCCAAGAGACACATGCAAATGAAGATGTAGAGTCATTGAGTGGCTCTATGAGTCTCAAATTCAGGAGGGAAGTACTTCAAGCTATTAAATTAGCGAGAGAGTGAGTGAAAATGTAAATGCCTTATTTGCAAATAGAAACAAACATTGAGGAATGAAGACGGTTGTTCACCATCTTATAGTGAGTCAATGGAGGAGTTAGATATTGGACTGAAACACCTGCTTCCCTTTACAGAGCTGGTCATGTGTCCTACTCCAAGGCATGTACACCTCCTTGCACATGGAAGAGCTTAGTACACTTCTCTGGGGAACAATCCACCACCCACCAATCCATAGGCATGACACCTGAGGATCTTTTTTTTAAAATATATTTTATTGATTTTTTACAGAGAGGAAGGGAGAGAGATAGAGAGTTAGAAACATCGATGAGAGAGAAACATCGATCAGCCGCCTCCTGCACATCTCCTACTGGGGATGTGCCCGCAACCAAGGTACATGCCCTTGACTGGAATCGAACCTGGGACCTTTCAGTCTGCAGGCCGACGCTCTATCCACCGAGCCAAACCGGTTTCGGCAACACCTGAGGATCTTAATGATGTACAGTGTCTTTCTGTTTTCTGTCTTTACATGCTTTCACGATGTCTCTTTCCAGTTCTAATTAATTTCTCTGATCTGCCTTGATGATATACATCACCTTCTTTACCCGTTGGGTAGTTATATTTGGCTTATTGGATGTTCTAAGGACACTGGATGTCTTCCTTGAGGAGGTTGTTAGTTGAAGAGGTTAAGTTAGGAGGAGAAATAGCATAATGAATATATACAATTACACATTAACAGACCTATAAAAAAATTTCAAATGTTGCAGAGGTGTGTGAACATGGGATACTGAGGGATGGCTTAGGGCAATGGGGCTGACACAAAGCCAAGAGAGGTTTATTAAGAAAGACTTCAGAGAAAATATGAATCTTATGTTTTGGGATGGTTACATTTTTCAAAGGATAATCTTTCCTTAACACATAGAAACAAAAGCTGTAGTTATAAGAAACTGGAAAGCCAAAAGTTCAGTGACATAGGTAAATGCCAAGAAGTGTTGGAAAACCTTGAAGCAAATATTCAGGAGTTCTAACATGACTCAAAGGCCCTGAATAGGAGCTTCTAGAAAAGAATAGAACATAATTAAAATATGTAGCTTTCAGAGAATGACTCTTTTTGTCCTTGGAAACCAAAAAGTCAGTTCTGAGTCATGAATGCATAAAAATGACACAATATACGCAGATCTTTAGCACTAAAAAAAATCGAATGTTCTAAAAGAATTGAAATAGAACCACAAAGACTAGCTTCTTCAAGTCATGGCATCAAAGAGTAAATATTAGTATCTATTATTGTTAGACTAGAGGCCCAATGCATGAAATTTGTGCAAGAGTAGGCCTTCCTTCCCCTGGCTGCCAGCACTGGCTTCCCCCTGGCACCCGGGACCCGGGCTTCCCTCGAAGCCCTGGCTTCGTCTGGAAGGATATCTGGTCTAATTAGCGTATTACGCTTTTATTATTATAGACTAGAGGCCCAGTGCATGAATTCATGCAAAGGTGGAGTCCAGGCGGATTGGGCTGGGGGAGGAACCACAGGTGGTTGGCCAGATGGCCCCACCCCCTGGTCAAACTGGGGACAATTTGCATATTAGCCTTTTATTATATAGATTGTTTTGGAAACTCATGGCATCTCAGGGGAGGCTGAAGCACTTCATACACCTAAATTCTTGGCAGTCACCTCCCTGTTTCAGCAGTGACTAAGCTAAGACTAGCTACAATGTGTGTGTTTCCTTCTGCTGAAAGAAGGAGCCTTGAAGGCAAACATCTCCTTCCTCAGAACAGAGCCACCCTCAGAAGATGACACTAGAACAGTGATGGCGAACCTATGACACGCGTGTCAGAGGTGACATGCGAACTCATTTTTTTGGATGATTTTTCTTTGTTAAATGGCATTTAAATATATAAAATAAATATCAAAAATATACGTCTTTGTTTTACTATGGTTGCAAATATCAAAAAATTTCTATATGTGACACAGCACCAGAGTTAAGTTAGGGTTTTTCAAAATGCTGACACGCTGAGCTCAAAAGGTTCACCATCACTGCACTAGAACCATCTATTCTAGAACCATCTTATTTTGATGGTTATTTAATTGAATGAAAGACATCTACTTAAAGATACAATATACTGTAATGTCAGAATCATAACAAGGTTTAAGAAATGCAATTACTATCTTTAAGAGTTTCGTGGCCATCCCAGAAGAGCTTTAAAGCAAGAATGAGTAGTGCTGGACCAGATGTCAAAGGCATCTTTTGGCTGATGACATTGTCATTTTGGACTGTGGTGAGGAACCTGGATCATTTTTAAAGAAGGGCAGGTCTTGACCTCTCTCTGTTTTTCTGTTAGGATCACAGCTGTTCTCTTAATCTAAAAGCCACTTCTAGGTTGCTTTCAAAATAAGGGCCTCAACTACTGGACTCCACACTCTGTCTTGGCACTGTAATGTGACCCTTCAAGGCCTTTTGATGAACTTGGATGTGAACCACGGTTTTTAAAGAGAGAGAGAAAATTTCTGCCATGTTTGAAATACTGGCTTTCAGCCGGGGATTGGGGCATTCAATTCAGTGATAAGCCAGTGTTATCTTTGGGGAGGATCACAGCTTCCCCTAAAACCAAGAGACAAGCTTGTGCCCAATCAGGGTAACAAAGTATGACCGAGAGAGCTATGTAGTAATTATTCTTTATCCCACCAAGAACCGGGAGATTTGTGTCCTGTTTCCGAACCTGTGCTGCCGTATAGTGAAAGCAACAGGAAATTTAGAGACAAAGGGGCCCGATCTCGGTCTTAGCCCAGGACCAGGTCCGAAATCACGGACACAAAGATGTTCTGTGCTTTCCTTCAATGCAGGGTGTATCGGGACTGGTTGAACTCAAGTATGAACCTTTGATTCATATTTAATGAAAGACGCACAAATATTTAACTTCGGGTCAACTTTTATGAAAATCTTATTTTACACACATTAACACAACAGCTATGATTTTGGTGCACAGAAACGTATTTCCACTCCGCCTTTGGGAAAACGCACGTAATGTGTAAAGCGAGGTCAACAGTCCCAGTGGGCACCGCCCCTCGTTAGCTCCCCGCCCACCGAGGCCCCGCGTCCTTGCTATTGGTTCCCTTCCCTGCGCCGTCCGTTGCCGTGGAGACCAAGGCTATGGCAACCAGGAGAAGCCAAACTTGCTCATCCCTTCGCTACCGCCAAGGGATAGATAGACTCTAGGGGCGGGCGGACTCTCTCGGCGCTGTGCTCATGGCGCTCTACGAGCTCTTCTCTCAGCCGGTCGAGCGCGGCTACCGCGCGGGGCTCTGCTCCAAGGCCGCGCTGTTCCTGCTGCTGGCCACCGCGCTCACGTACATCCCGCCGCTGCTGGTGGCCTTCCGGAGCCACGGTGAGCCTCCCCCGGTGGGCGCGTGCCACAGCTGCCCGGCCCGCCGCAGCCGCGCCGGCCTTGCTGACACCCTCCCCACCGCCTTCCCGCCCTTTTCACCTCAGGGTTTTGGCTGAAGCGGAGCAGCTACGAGGAGCAGCCGACTGTGCGCTTCCAGCACCAGGTACTGCTCCTGGCCCTGCTAGGACCCGAGCGCGGCGGGTTCCTCGCCTGGAGCACGTTCCCCGCCTTCAACCGGCTGCAGGGGGATCATCTGCGCGTCCCGCTCGTTTCGGTGCGTGGTTCCTGCCGGGGCCCAGCTGCCCACCGGGACTGGGTGGAGGTAGGGGCGGGAGCGGGGGTAGGAGAGGGCGAGCGCCCGGCCCCGTGGGAGCCCCAGCTTAGGTCTTCAGGGTCCTCGATCCCACGGTAAGTTGTGTACACAGGCTCAGTGGTTTGAACATAGGCTTAACTTCCTGGGGAGTAAGTCTCTTATTTCATTCGATTTCTCCAAGCTGCCCGTCACCCCAAGAAAGTTAGCAGCCGCTGTCAGCGTGCTACCTGGCACCGAGTCCAGAAGCCTGCGGCCGCCTGTTTGCAGCCCCCGGTCATTTCCGTGGGCTGCCTGATAGAAAGGTAGTCGCGGAAGCTCCGCTATGGGTCACGGAGGACCAGCAGTGTTCTTGTTGCAACCCTCAGTGCTGCTGCAATTGTGCATCCAAACACTCGGAACGGAAGGAGCAGGCATTTTTATGCAGGCTTGACCCTGGGAAGCCCCGGCCCTGATTGGTTACACGACCTCCGGGAACGCCCTCCCGCCTCCCGGGCTGGTCTTATTAGATGCCGCTGCCCCGTCCTGTAGCTGTCCAGAAGGAAAAGGAAGCATTTTACTGTCTGTAATTTAGTATTCGGTTCAGGTAAGTGAGTGCTTCCTTTACAAACACTCATGTTTTGAAAACATTTCCCTTTAGAAATATGAAAATTCTGGTTTCCTTCTTCCAAAGTTTAATCTCAGCAAACATCTCTGAGATTATTGGCCTGCAAGCCAAACTTGTGTAGCTGGAAAAAAAAAAATTCAGACCTTTTCCCCCCCAGCAACTAAATAAAATGAAAAAAAAAATTAAATCTGATTAGTTATATGAATGACACACAAAATACGATTCAAGTTTTTTTCTTGAATACAATACATTTTCTTATATTTTTCTGATTATAAGATTGCATGCTTATTGTAAAATGTTAAAGTTACTGGTATATATAATGACATAAAATTAAAGGCTCAGTTTGGGGTATGTATCAATACTTGTTAATCAACCTTATTCTTTTTAAGACCTACAAGGTATTTCATAATATGGAACAACTGTGATGGATTTGACCAGTTCCTTGTTAGTGGATATTTGAATTGATTTCACTTTTTCACTATTAGAATATTGTCATGAACAAGTTTTTTTTTAAAAAATATGTTTTTATTGATTTTAGAGTGAGAGGAAGGAAGAGGGATAGATAGAAACATCGATTGGCTGCCTCCTTCATACCCCACATCGGGGATCGACCCCTTCCCAGACATAATCCCTGACCGGGAATCAAATTGGTGACCTCTTGCCCAACCCGGTTTGGCTCAGTGGATGGAGCGTTGGTCTGTGGACTGAAGGGTCCTGGGTTCAATTCTGGTCAAGGGCACATGCCTGGGTTGTGGGCTCAATCCCCAGTGGGGGCTGTGCAGGAGGCAACCAATCAATTATTCTCTCTCGCCATTGATGTTTCTATCTCTCTCTCCTCCCTTCCTCTAAAATCAATAAAATACATTTTTTGTAAATCTTAAAAAAAAATGGTGACCTCTTGGTTCATGAGTCAACACTCAACCATTGAGCAACACTGGCCCAGGCATGAACTAGATTTTGAATAAACATCAAATTGTGAGGAATTTCAATAGAAGCTGATTGTTGAAATTGTATAAGTAAATAGAAAACTAAGCAAGCAAATAAAATACTTATTAACTTTAGAGAAATAAAAAATAAGGGAAAAGTGAAAAAGGTCATTAAAGTTGTGAATAGGATTTACAGTGAAATGAGAGTTTAACTCTATTGGTGGGATGGGAAGGGTATGTGTGTGGTGGAGGCTGGTGGGTGGTGCATTTTATAATTGATTTGAGGCCTGGTGCACAAAAATTTGCACCAGATCCCTGCTGCCCTGCCTGGCTGCCCTGGGTCAGGTCGCAGACAGGATGCCCGATGGCAGCCGGGCGGGCCAGCCGATTGCTGCTGCACTGCCAGGCTGCCCGGATGGGGTCGCACATGGGACGCCCCGCCGCTGCGGGTCACAGATAGCAGGCCCGGATGGCGGCAGGGCAGGCGGGATGGCACTGTCCCACCCTGCCTGCAGTATGCAAATTAGCCGCCATCTTTGTTGGCAGTTAATTTGCATACCACACTGATTGGCCAATGGGAGGCATAGCGAAGGTACGGTCAATTACCATGTTTGTCTATTATTAGATAGGATGCCATCTTAGACTCATTGAAATACAGGTAGTAAGGATTTGATGAGTCTAGGAATCCTGAAGTAGTGGTCCCTATTTTCAGGAGACCCAAAGAGTAATGCCAAAGAGTATTTTCAGCACAAAAAGAAAAAACCGGAACATTCAATGGCAAATATATGGCAAAATGAACACTGGTATAAACTAGGAAATTAACCTTTATAATAAAAGTATATTGCCCTAACCGATTTGGCTCAGTGGATAGGGCGTCGGCCTGCAGACTCAAGGGTCCTAGGTTCGATTCCGGTCAAGGGCGTGTACCTTGGCTGCGGGCACATCCCCAGTGGGGAGTGTGCAGGAGGCAGCTGATCGATGTTTCTCTCTCATCGATGTTTCTAACTATCTCTCTCCTTTCCTCTCTCTGTAAAAAAATCATTAAATATATTAAGAAAAAGAATATTACTCGACAGAATGAACAGTGTAAAAACAAACAATGAGATACTTGGGGGGGGGAAATATTGCAAGTCAGGGCATTTGGAAACAATTGCACTCCTTAATTTATAGCAACTCTTACAGTCAGATGGTGCATTGTTTTTACTCTTGTGTCAGCTCCAAAGCCGCCCTCCTATCTCTGCTTTGTGATGCTCACACTGAGATGATGAAAACCACATTCTCTTCTGCCCACTGACTCCCTGTTAGGCTCTGCCAGTAGGAGGCATGACGAGCCTTGTTCTAGGAGTAGGAAAAAACTAGAAACTGCAACCAGTTGCTACTGCCAGTTGAAGAACCAGTGCCAGGGTGATACAAACAGGAAAGAGTAAGTCTTTCCTCCAGCCTTATCCATTCCCTCTCATGGTTTCCTCCTCCAACACTCTAGAGCAGGGGTGGGCAAACTTTTTGACTCAAGGGCCACAATGGGTTCTTAAACTAGACCGGAGGGCCGGAACAAAAGCATGGATGGAGTGTTTGTGTGAACTAATATAAATTCAAAGTAAACATCATTACATAAAAGGGTACAGTCTTTTTTTTTTTTTTTAGTTTTATTCATTTCAAACTGGCCGGATCCTGCCCGCGGGCTGTAGTTTGCCCACGGCTGCTCTAGAGGTATCAGTGTCAGCTGGGAAGCGCTTCCTTCCTGAGACCTGAGTCCCAGCTCCTGGAGGTAATGCCAGCCTCTTCCCTTCCTGCTCCAGCTCCAGGCGCGGGAGCTGCTTCCTGCAGTTACCCTCTCTGTGTTATCACAGCATTCCCTTTTTGCCTTTTTTGTCCCCTTATGCTACTAATTATCCCCTATACTAAATTCCCTCTGTTAAAATAACTGTTTAGTTTCTGTTTTCCTGATTGGTCCAGGTAGACTGACTGATATGCACTGACTAAATGCAACAATGCCTATATTTATCCGACCTAGTA